CACTAGCATTTACGACGGCTCAGGTCATGGGAAAGCATTCGAAAAGCCTCTTAGACATGCTTGTCCTGGGCGAGCAACACGATTACTCTGGAAACGTACAGGTATGCATCTAATTATGCAAAAGGTGGTACCGCAATTATTGCGCTCGAAGGATCACTGGCGTGTTTCAGGAATCGTTATGTACAATTACTAGAATCAGTGATGCAGCAGCTGCCCATCCGTTAACAACTGGAACACACACTCACCCAACTGTTCAGTTTTCGGTAGGCTGAACAAAGCATGATGCAGAGTCCAAACACCGCCAGATGTGTAATGTCGGTAATTGAGCAACTAATGGGAGAAAAGGTCTTCAAAGAATCACTGCTAGCATTACACGGCAGTACCGCACTGGGCGCTGTGAAAGCTACTGTTATTGGAATGAACGATAATATGATAGAGATGGAGGTAAATGTTTTGTATCAGCGTGTTATCCAAGTAGGGAATCCTCTGTCTCAGATATGCTATCCGACGGCAACCCTCTCTCATGTAAAATATGTCCTTCACGTGGAACCACTGGGACAGTTTTCGTGGAATATGGATTCGTTTTGGACGGATAACGTTGGACAGCGCTATGCAGTAGAGAAAGAACACAGACATGCAACCTTAGATTCACTTCTGTCTGTGCCAGACATCGGTTTCTGCCGGAAAATGTCAACAATACAACTGTGTCAATTGCAACAACAACCGTTAGGATGTGGACTAGAGATTGGGAACAGACATGGCTGTCGTCGAACTGTATACAACTCGACGAACGAAATTGTAGGGTATTATGTTGTTGTTTTTCCATTTACATGACATTTGCAATCATCGACTGCAATTACAGTTCACACTAGTCCGCCCACTTGCACGAAGTGTAGTCATTGCAACGAAAACGAGATATATGTACTTGGCATCAGAGTACGCAGCGAGGGATTGGGAGGCTATTGATATCAAGTGTCCGACGTTTGCTGTAGACATTCCGAAGGGAAAAATGTTGATGATTGGGGGAGTGGATGTCCATTCACGTTGTGTTCAGGAATCACGGGACGGAGAGCTACGCGTCATAGTGCCGGTAAATGAGTGTTTTGTTCAGTGTCATTAACTCTATATGCTAAAACAGTATCAATCAGGAAACGCAGTACTCACCCGTTGAATCGCTATACAACGAATGGATGGGAACGTAGACAAATGGATTGAATATCGCAGTAATATGGTTCTGTTTGGCGGTCATTGGTACCGCGATGGCAATAATGACCACGGCTGGAATACGGGCGATATTGAAGCTTAAAAGAGCGTGAACACCATAACAACAGCGCTAGAAGATTGCGCCCAAGGAGGCTGCATTCAGACACGTTCCGATTGCCAATGAGTACGGCACCACCTATGGAAAAGAATAGTTTTAATAAAGCTTTATACTGAATTGATTCACTGTTTAGGAAATCAGGGGAAGTTCCCAGTATATTTGTTACCAGTCGGATCGCCCGGCTAACGCCGAGCTCTCCTCCTTCTTGGAAGCCCGGCTTCGCCGGGCTCATGCAACTGCTTTAGAGCCTCACTTCTTAACTCGTGAAAGAAAGGAGCAAAGTAAGGCATAAGCAGGGCGATACTACTGTCTTAGGCATTTATGATGCTCTCATGGTGACTAACCGGTGTCTTCTAATCAAATAAATGTAGGAACGCGCCATATAGTCGCAGGGCACTTTTTGAAAATCTGGTCATGGATAATCGATTACTGTCCTCCCCATCTTATGACAGCCACGGATTCTTCGGTCTCCGCAGTCGCTGCGTGCTCCTGTTCAGGAGCGTCGGTCGCGCCAATATGGTACCCCTTCACCTCACCTATCCCCAAACTAACCTCAGCTATTCCCCGCTCAGCCACCCTACAGGTCACGCTCAGCTGCTACGCGAATAGCCCGTGCAATGGTTCTGAGTGCACTAAATGGTTGTGTTATGTTGTGGAGGGTGTTATGACTATCAAAACGCTACCACAATTTGATAATGCAACATTAATCGGTTCAGTTCCGATTGCGGTCGATCCATTTTCTTCCCATCTTGTCGCAACCGTAGACGCCTTACCGCCGCAGGGGCTATGTGCTCCTAATCGCGAAATCGCCGTTCTCATCTGGTATCCCCTCACCACATCATATCCCACTGACCCTATTTAACCGGCACCCACTCCCGCACGTGGTATGCAGCCGCCATGCAACATAGGGACACTACGCCGCCACTGTTCTTACCACCGCCTTGCTCGTGCTCACGTCCAGCTCCCAAGCGAGCAGCTCCTGCAGTAGCACAGAGTATATCACAGTGGTTGGCTTAGATAGGGGAGCGATTCACAATCCAAACAACTTCTTAGTTCGTTGCTGTAACATGGAT